CACACACACACACACACACACACACACACACATGTGCGCGCAGCACACACATGCATGCACATATCTGAGCTTCTCACCAGACTACTGACTTAGAGCTACAGACTAACTAGTTGTTAATAATATTATTACAATACAAAAGATCGAATAGCCACCGAAGTACTCAGAAAAATTGGAACAGCAAAGGTAGCGCTATTCAAGAACGAGAAAGAATCCCTGGCTTGACCACGGATCCTAACGTTGCATCTACCCTGGAGCAGGCAAATTGCTTTCACCCTATTCCACACCCAACACGATTACCCTCCTGCGCGCGTCACGTGCAAGTATTGCTTCCAAAACCGGAAACGCACTAAGGTCTTGTTGCAAACATCGTCGTCTACTCTAGCAAAATTTAATCCTCCTCTCTTCGGCGATTCAATATGGATGGATGGACACATGGACACGACGAGGAAACTCAATTCTTCTTGCGCCTTTTTGGTTTCTTCCCAGCACTCTGATTCTCTTCCTCAGCTGCCGCCGACGCCGATGCCTTCCCAAGAACTCGTGCTCTTGCCTTGAGAAACTCCTCTTCTGTGGGCTCCTCATCACCCGCCTCCCTCCCCCTCTTGCTCAAGGCACCACCACCATTACGGTCATTCGGCCCCTTTCCCTTACCTTTCCTCCCTGGACCCCCAGCAACTCCATACTTCTTCTCGAGCATCTCCAAGAGTGACTTCTCCCTGTCTTTCCCCCGACTCTGAATCATCGCAACCAGGGCTCCCGAATCTTCCTCCTCCTTCGCCTTCGCCTTCCCCTTTGCGCGCCCCTTCTTCGATGCCTCTGCAGCACCCAGGGGATCCTTCGGAGGCGGTTTCATGTCCACCTGCTTCGCCCATCGCTGATACCGCGGGTAGGATTTCAATTCCCCTGCAGCAATCGCTGCATCTATAATCTCTTTGAACCTGTGGGAATCGAGCTCTTCTCTCGAGCATATGATGTACAGGAAGGCCTTCTCCATGTCCCCATCGAACCTCACGTAACACCCCTTAACCTCTGCGGCCTCTTCATCCGATCCCCGAAACGACCTCTCAAACGCAACAATGTCATCTTCCGTTACCTTGCGGTACACTGTACGGTAGTACTCGTACAGGTTGCTGAACTTCTCCCCAGAGAGCTCGGCATCATCAGTACTCCCTGTCTCGTCATAAATTTTCCTCTTCTCCTCGTCCCCGAGGATTGAGAACACTTTTTGGAGCGTTTGGAAGTTCTGCTTTGCGCTCTCGTCGCCCGGATTCTTGTCAGGATGCAGCCGCAATGCCATGCGGTGGTACTGCTTCCTGATCTGCGCCAGAGTTGCTGTCTTATCCACACCCAAAACCTCATACAGGCTCTTGCCGCCAAAAAAATGGTCCTTGCAAGCTCCCTCGGTGCTTTCCTCCTGTCTCACTTCCTCGTCCTCTGCTTTCGCTCGCTCATCTTCATCTCTCCTCTTTCTTCTGCTGCTGCTCTTTCCCTTCTTACTGCGACCACCTCCGTTGCTCTCACCATCTTCTTCTTGCTCTCCACCAGAGTGGACAGAGATATCGTCTGCTTCCTCCGTCTCCGCTCCCTCTACATCTTTCTTCCTTCGCCCGCTCTTGACGTTCCTTCTCCTCTCTCCGTTGCCAAGCGCTTTCCCCTTCGGCATTGTGCTCGCACCTGTGAGAGCTTCCTTTCCTAGTCTAGTAAGCCTAGACTAGTCAGGCAGGGCCACAATGTCAAGGCAAGCAACAGCAAATTACTATGCAAGTCAGGAAAAAACTAGGAGATATATGAAAAAATATACGCAAGTATATATATAAATATTATAAAATATACTTCCAACTGCCAGACGTACTGCAAAGAGAAGGGAGATGGATAGGCAAAGACCACAATGGGTCAATTATGATATATTCTTTTGGATCTTGGACAGCGAAAGACAAGGGATGCCAATCAGAAAAGCTCAGGTTCTATCAAGCAGAACAACAGACAACCAAAGTCCTCCCTACTCCTCCTCCTCCTCCCTCCTCCCTCATCCCTCATCCCTCCTCTCCTCTTCTCTCCTCTCGCCTTCCCTCATCTTCTCCTCCGCTCCCCCTCCCCCCTCCTCCTCCCTCGTCTGCTCCTACCTCCTCTCTTCTTCCGCTCCTCCCTCCTCCCTCCTCCCTCCTCCCCCCCCCCCCCCCCCCCCCCCCCCCCCCCTCCTGCACCCTCCTCTCCTGCACCCTCCTCTCCTCCACCCTCCTCTCCTCTTCGCCTCCTCGCCTCCCTCCTTCTCTACCCTGAGGATAGTACCTAATGAAAATCAACTCATGTCACCTAAACCCCTTAGGTAAAAGATACACAACACATACAAAGAGGACAGCATAATATCGTCAAACAGAGCTGCCCAGTAAACCGTAGGCAGAGAGGGAGAAGAGGATACATATATTTCCCACTGGCATTTGCTAAGTACTGTGGGTGACTGCCATCGGTCTAGTATCCCACCTCTACAACAACCTGGGCTTTATAATATTAAAAAAAAAGAAGAAGAAGTCGTACCCTTTCTTGTCCTATTGCGGGAAGCCTCAACTATTCATATCCTATTCATATCCTTCTATTCATAACCTTCTATTCATATCCTATTGATATCAGCTAAGAATGATGAGAACGCCCACCCTGAGATGTAAATGATCCTCACGATCGCCTCTGACAGCCTACGGTTGTGCAACTCGGATGCCAATGTCTCGTGGTAAAAGAATCAAAGACAAGCCAATGTACTGCAGTTATAATGGCAAGCAGGTAGAAGTACTGTGAATCTGTGATTCCATTACTGGGGTCCAAATCTCAACCTCAAGGTGGTATTCTGTACAAACGGACCCAGACATACTCGTAAACCGCACTCTCTCTCTCTCTCTCTCTCTCTCTCTCTCTCTCTCTCTCTCTCTCTCTCTCTCTCTCTCTCTCTCTCTC